CTCTACCATCACCTCCGTCCCAACAGTGTCTGAGAGCACACCCAGCTCTACCATCACCTCCGTCCCAACAGTCTCTGAGAGCACATCCAGCTCTACCATCACCTCCATACCAACAGCCTCCGGGAGCACAACCAGCTCCACCATCACCTCCATCCCTACAGTCTCTGAGAGTACAACCAGTTCTACCATCACCTCCATCCCTACAGTCTCTGGGAGCACATCCAGCTCTACCATCACCTCCATACCAACAGCCTCCGGGAGCACAACCAGCTCTACATCCACCCCCGTTACAACTACCTTTGCGAGCACACCGACCACCATTCCGACAGTGTCTAGCACCACACCCAGCCTTACCACCACTACCACCAACCCTACTACCACTCCTGTGATCACTACAACTTCCTTATTACTAGGTATTTCTCCTTTCCCCTCGGTGTTTTCCATCCTTGTCTCTGATTCCTAACTTCCTCCTGCCTTGAATAATCCCTACGAGGCTTTGGGCAACCTTGGGGACATCCTCGGGGTCTCCTTTGGGTCCTGTTGTGGCCCTGACACACTGCATCCTCTTCCAGAGACCTGTCTGAATGGAGGCACCTGGGACGGAAACAAGTGCATCTGCGTTGACGGGTTCTCAGGTAGCTTGTGCGAGTACCCCATCTGCCAGAACGGTGGTACCTGGGAAGGCGGCCTTTGCTACTGCCTCCCCAACTTCCAGGGCAACGAGTGCCAGTTGGTCAAGGAGAACATTGAGATCAATGATGGTAGGGAACCATCCTGGTGTTGGGTTCACCATGGGTTGAGCTTGGAATGGGCCCTGGGTTATTGCGGAGGGACCAACTCCAGCCTGGGAGTGGGGGCCACCATAGAGGGACTGACTGGGCTGAGACCAGGGTGACTATGGTGGCACCAACCCAAACCTAAGGTGGGCTTCCAGTGCCAGGGTGGCCATGGAGGGACCGACTTGGGGACAACACTGGGGGCTGTTGGGAAGGGACTGAGTGGGGCCACTGTGGAAGGACTGAGGTGGCCTCCCTGGTGAAGGGACATGGGACACCAGGGGTGGGATGAGGCCTCCTGGGGGGCAGTGAACCAGTGCTCACAGGACTTCTTCTGGCCCGGTGAAGTGGTGGTGAACGCAACAGTGGAAATGAAGGCGAAGGTCACCAACCAGATTTTCACAGAAGACCTCCGAAATCGATCCTCCCCTGCTTTCCAGGACTTCGAGGAGAAATTTAAGGATCAGGTCAGAGCATAGCAATGCCACTGTGGCTGGGGACACCCCATGCCAGGACAGCACCCACCAAGGGGGCATTAAGAGTGAGACAGGGCTGTCCCTCAACTGTGCCTGTGGTCTCTCTTTGCCTTTCCAGATGGACGTGCTTTACAAGAATATACTTGGTTACCAAGGGGTGGTGGTCCTCAACCTAACGTGAGTGGGGTTGTGAGGGGCCGGGTGGCATGTCCCAGTGTGTCCCCACCTCTCCTTGACCTCCAGCAAGTGGATTTTGGGTGCAAGGCATCTGTGAGGGGTGATTTGGGGTGATGCTTTCTGAGGATGGGGTATCCCACTGCTCTGAGGGCAGCGTAACCCCAGTTCAGTGTCATGATGTCCACACTGGGGAACCCAAACTGACCCAGGTCTCCAGCTGGGGTCCCCCCAGGCATGGGTATCGGAGGGCATCTTTCTCCTCATTCCTTCGTCCCACCATGGGGATCGCACTCCATGCATGGGTGTCTCTTGGGGATGGATGTGTCCTCCAGTAGGACCTGTCCCAGCCTGGGGTTGTCCTGGGGTGGTGTCAGCCCAGCTCTGTCAAGCCACCAGTGCCCTTTCTCCCTTCAGTGAAGGCAGCATTGTCGTGGACTACAAGGTCATCCTGAAGATCCCTGTCACCAGCACCCTCAACAGCACGACCGAGAGCATCGTCAAAGATCTGGTCTCTATTATCAACACGTCTGATACCTGCTGCGAGACCGACCCCTCATTATGTGAGTGACCATGGCGGACCTTGGGGATGGCTCCTACCTGGCCCTTGACGTCAGGGTACTTGGGGCTCCTTTGGCTGAGCCTGGACACATTGATCAACCTCTGCTCTCTCTGATGCAGGTAGTTTCTGTTTCAACTCCACCTTCACCAACGTCACTAGCTACACAGTTGACGACGTTGATGAGGGTGAGTCATGTCATGCTTGTGGGTCTTCCAGCCTGGGTGAGCAGGACTCAGCAGGACTCAAGCTGTCCAAGCACCGTCCCCATCCTCCATCCCTTTAGCCTCTCCTTGTGCTCCCAGGTCCCCAACCCCATGCCCCTGGGTCTCTAGGCCCATGCCTATGTGTTCTTCATCTCCATGGCCTCTATCCCCATGGGTCTCCAGGCCCATGACTATGTGTTCTTCATCTCCATGGCCTCCATTCCCATGGGTCCCCAACCCCATGCCCATGGGTCTCCAGGCCTATGTCTGTGTGTTCTTCATCTCCATGGCCCCCATCCCCATGGATCCCCAGGCCCATGCCTATGTGTTCCTCACCTCTGTGCCCCCCATCCACATCCCTCCAAGCCCCCCAGCTCCATTCCCCCCATTCCCATCCCCATGAATCTTGGCTCCCTCAAACCCTGTTGCCTTTGTCCTCAGACCTGTGCGATGGCCAAGTCCCAGAGGAATTCAAGGATCAGTACTCTGTCGTCCTCACAAAAGATGGTGTCATCTGCGCCACCAGATGCGACCAGAGAGTCGCCAACCCCTACACCTGCACCCACGGCACGTGTTACGTGGACCGCAGTGGACCCCTGTGCGAGTAAGCACCCCACATTGCACATCTGATGTCACCCATGTTTGGGGACTTGGTGCCTCCTGAGGAGGACAACGATGGCTCCTCTCTAACCACCTGGTCTCTCTTCTAGGTGTTCAGACCAGGCAGCGTTTTGGTACATGGACAAGACCTGCTCCTCCCGTCTCAGCAAGGTAGGGGTGGCTGTAGGAGTGCCCGTGGCAGTGCTGGTCATTGCCACCACCGTCTTCACCATCTTCCTGATAAGGACACAGAGGAAGAACACGGAGTACAGGCAAGTGCAGAGTGGGGAGCACGAGAAGGGTCCCGGACACCTGGGTCCAGCAGAGGCTCTGAGCCACGTCCGTGCACAGGGAGAAGCTGTCGTCCCGCTCGGAGCTGTACGATGATGAGGACGAGAACTGGAGCAGCCCCCACGGTTTTGGTACCAGCAACCAAGCAGCCAGTTGGGAAGGTGAGACAGGGCACCACGAGTGCCAAGCCAAAGGGGTTGGTGAAGGGGGCTACAGCTTTTTGCCCCATCCTGGGAGCCAGTGGCTTCCAGCAAACCCCTCAGGGAGTGTGTACAACCCTCAACCATGCTCTCCTCCCATCTCAGGCTCAGAAACCCCCAACGTCTACATCAGCCTGGAGAACGTGGACACCTCGCGGCAGGTGGGTCTGGCATCTCGAGGACCTTCGTGGGCGCCATGGGGATCGCCAAGCTCACACCCTCCTCCTCCTCAACAGATTCGCATCCAGAAGCCCTCCAGCATCCTGCCCTGAGCCGAGCCCATGGCCAGCGAACGGAGTCACTCGGGGATGGGATGGTGACACCCCACACCTCACCTCCAACAGCCACTGAAGAAAAAAAATGAGCCAGCAGGGGAAAAAATGAGCCAGTTCCTTACTCCCCAAGCTGCTCAGCACTGCCAGGACAGGAGGACAGCGCTGCACCCGCATGACGGCAGTGCCGAGCCCCTGGCACCCTTTGCACTGTTGTTTATAGGCACCTGGCTTCCCGCCAGCTGTTGTTCTTTCACCTCTGGACCTTTTATAGACTAATAAAAACTCTTATTTTATTGACGGACACCTCATTTCCTCATACCTCTTCAGCTCGGTGTGGGCTGGATGTTTCCCCAGTGCGTCATGCTCACCCTCCTTGTGATCACAAAGGATGTCACCTCCCTTTGCCACCGTGCCCCAAGGTGGATTTGCCTATGCTTTCTGCAGAACTGGTTTCCCAATATCTGGATGGGACAGTCCCACGTCCCCCTCCCTTGACAGAGAGGCTCTGGGAATTCGTCACGCAGCAGCCACATGGAAAAGGTGACACTGGTGAAACCCGCGGCAGCCCCTTGTCCCCGTGCTATCCGCCATGCCCTGCACGTGAACAGAGCCGGGATGAGGAACCGAGCGTTCCCGGAGCACATCAGGATCGCTTTTACTGCCAGGGAAAAGCAATTAAGCCGCGCTATCGAAGGTGCAAGTCCAAAGCGTGACGCATGCACCCAACTATCCCCGTCCTGCTGTGCACCGGCCCCATCCTCCCATGCAACCACAGCTCTTCCCCGGGGCAAGGGTAGATTCAGCCCTTCCCAGGATCAACCCCTTCCCAATATCCTTGCAGAGTTTTCTCCCCAAATTTCCCACCTGCCCGCCCCCATCTCCGCTCCATGCAAAGAGGAAGAGGAAGGGGGGCAAAGAAGGGCTGCTCCTTGCTGCAAGAAGGGATTTGCAAGGTGGATGGCTCTGGTCCAACAAAGTGGGGCAAAGAAGGGCTGCTCCTTGCTG